AGAGAGAGAGAGAGAGAGAGAGAGAGAGAGAGAGAGAGAGAGAGAGAGAAAGAGAGAGTACTCCTGCGAACATCATTCGGAAAGTCTTTGCCCCTGAAAAGACTGCATTTTACTTGGCTTACGCGGATTATTCTTTGGAAGATCATCCGGCTGCCAGTAAGCTCAGAGCTGTCATCAAGTAACTTGAGTGTTAGACATAGATCCATGCTCGCTAAGACTTTCGTCTCCCACTTTTTATGGATATTTTATGTTGCAATGCGTTTATTTTATCGCTCTCAAAGCAGAAATCCTCACAAAAGGGTAATTTTTCATTGGAAACTGCTTCAAGAATGAACTGGTCGTGTAGTTTTTGTTACCAGTCTTGATTTCCTTGTGATATCTGCTGTGAATGAACTTGAAAAAGCCTTTCTCCTTGAGTTGGAAATTTATTAAAAAATTATTGATTTTCAAATGTCCACAGTACTTGTAAAACACTTACGCCTCGAAGAAAAAATGCAGCAAAAAGCAAGAAAAAACAGCGTAGGGAAAGGTGCAGGTTTGATCAGCTTTCTGCTCATGAGCCGCGACTGACTCGAAAAGTAAACTGCTTTCCCAAAAACGATTTGCAATACGTTGCATTGGAAATCGGGAATTTATAATCAAACGCCTGCGATCGGAAAAGATGAGGTTTGTTGCTAGAAGAATCACTGCATTCTTGTGAACGAAACAATAAATAAAATCGAAAAGGTTCAATGGAACTTGGATTTACACTCGTCTTCAATTCCTTTGGTTTGGAAGATATTTCCAATTGAAATTCGTTAAATCTTTTCTTGGCCACTCCGCACTTTATTTTTCCTACTCCAACTAACCAAGCAAATTCGGGAATCGAAGAGAATGGCGCAGGATCGCACTGACGTTTGTTTCCAATGAAGCCAATCCTCCGTGAATTGTTGCACTGCTTCCGTAAACTTCAGTTTGATGTGTTCATGGCTCTGATCTCAACCATGCACAGATGCGAATCATTGCAGGTCTTCCCTATTCTGTACGTGAAGGAATTTGCTGATGGCCTACACGTGCTTCAGCTCCGTAAATATTATTTGACTTATCTCGTCTCCAAAACCCATATTTAGTAATGTATAGCAAAATCGTTGACAACACCTTCTATCTCCGGGAATTCCATTCTTCGTCGAAAAACTCGTCGTTGATGTTCCACGTGCGTTCGACCCGTGAGCCGTGACATTTGAAAAGGACCATGGAAATTACGAATGTATGCATATTTTTCATACATATATGGCGAGAGTGTGAGGAAAGTAGCACAACAACGGAAAGTCGAGTCTCGCATTTCCGTGTTTGTGAATAGGATAGAAAAGCAATTCGCGATAGAATCTCGCCCGGCACTTGCTCGGTGATTTAAAAGCCATTTCTTCGTTCACGATTCCTTTCGTTCTCCGAAAGTAAATTATGAATATACGGAAATTATCCTCAAGAAAGCTTTTCAAAGTTCTCGGAATAATTGATCAGACGTGGCCTTCCCTTGTCTCGAAAGGGTAGGAATAGCTTTTGAGGACGCGAGCAACTGCAGAGATCCCTGAGAAAATACACCGACTGCTTCAATATTCATTGTTCTTTTTTACTGAATATATGACTGCTTTATGACTCAGAACTACAATTCAAATCGCACGCTTCTTCTGTGTAAATTTCCTCAAGCGTGCGGACCGGCGAATTTCTTGGAAAACCGTTTGTTAGATGAATACTCCCATCAGCAGAAATGCAACACACGAGTAGAAAGGCGATGTTTGGCAGCTTTTCTCTTTGATCATAAGGTGAGGAGAACGGGAAGTGAAACGAAAGTTTTTTCCCTCTGTTTTATGGTTGCTTGGAAATTCTGGCGGATCTAAGAAGCAGGGCCACTCATCACACTCGGTTGGAAAAATGCGCTTTTGATCCGAATCCGGAACGGTGGTCATTCCGGGCAGGTTTGGCACAGCGGCCTGTTCATGCGAGTGACAGGAGAAAAATCTATCATAATCGCTGATTTTTCCTGTTGCCAAGGGTCGGGCTCCCATCCCATCGGGTCCCTATACCAGCGTTACTTGCAGCAGCGCCAAGAGAATTGTTCATGAGACAGAGCTTGTCGCTGTATTTCATTCCTGCTTAAAGACGGGAGCTGAGTCATTACACCAGAGGTTCCCAAGCTTTTTGCTCCGCGGAGCCCGAAGAGCTCCTCGTGTTATCCTTACAGGGGCTCCGCAGCCTTTCAAAATATTTACTGAACAACTAATATAAAGT